TACCCACTTAGTTTACGTGCCACTGGGAATTTTTCCAGTTCCTTTTTATGCTTGCTGCCATTCTATTCTTATATTTTCTCTTTGGATTGTTATATTCCGTTTCACTTCCCCCTTTAAACCTGTTTCATTTGGCCTTATTCAATTCACCCCATGTATTGCTGTTTTTGTTTATCTGCTTTGTCATCTAAGGAGCTTTGGCTCCATTCTTTCTTCCTGTTAAAATGTACCCTGGCCTATACCTAATTCATCTCCTTAAGTCACTCATTGTTATAGTTTCTTGTCAGTCCTTGTTTCTGTTTTACCTGGCCAGATACCCTTGTGTCATTGTAGTTGCCCTCTTCCAGTTTTGGTGTTTTATGTTTAAATGTTCCTTGTTCTTTTCCATTACTAATCTGAATCTTGATCATAATGATCAGTCTTATCCAAATATTCTCTCAAAAACAATTGGTCCACTTGTTCCAGCGCATTCTCCAGCACTTGAACTAGCAATGCCTCCTTTCTGGTTGGACTGAGAATGTACTGTTTTGGGAAGTTCCCTTGAGCACAATGTAGATGTTCCTCAATTCCTTTCCTCTTTAACATTATCACAATCATTTCTTTTTGGTAATCAAAGTCCCCTAAAATCATATCATAACATTACATTTCTTACATACCTTTTGAGGTTTTCCTGCTAAATTAGTGCTACATCTCTCACACAATACTTGGAACTCTATAACATAGCTACAGTTGTGTGCTCGTATCTTTCTTGTTTCTCAGCGACAACGTTGCTCCCTCTAGAACATCTTTGCATTCCAACGTATCTTCCCTGATTGACTGCCTTATCTCCCCTTTTTTTCTTTCCTTTCTCTGGACATTTTGTTTCCCTGAGTATTAAGTGCCCAGTCCTTGCCATTTTAAGCTGCATTTCTAATGTTGGTATTAGACCAAATTCCCACATGACTATTTGTGCATGTCTAATTGCCTCGCATTTGTATGGCACAAATGTTACCACTTTTCAGGCCAAGCCTGGATATTGTACAAGTCTTGGTGCGTTTGGATATGGACTGCTTTGGTATCTGAGGAGTTGTGAATAGTGCTGAACATTATGCAGTTATCAGTGAATATGCCCATGTCTGATGTTATGATAGAGAGAAGCATGATAAAGGCAATCCATTAATACAGGCTATTATAATTTGACAATAGGATCAAATTCAATCTGTACTCTTTTTCTAGCTGGATCATCTCGTGTTTACTAGTTTGATGTCTTGCTACAAAAGTACAGATTTTGACAAAACTTTACATGTTGTACTGTTTCTGGGCATTGCACAGTAATGTAAATTCAAGGAGAAAGCCAACATTAATACTGTATGAGAGGACTGTGCTGATTTCAGAGGCGTTCCCATAGAGAATGCACGCATTAATGCTATTTGACAGTTAACTGCTGGACTTTGATTAAATTTTAAACCTGCCAGGTTGACTCTGGTCAGGGCATTGTCCTAAGAAATAAACCAGTAAATGGTTGTCACTAATTGACTTGAAACGGCCACAGTTCAAATAACAGAACCCTATTTATTAATACTATTTATGTAACTTCCAATACTCTGAAAGTGAGGCTGATGATCTTAAATTGGTTGTCGATGTATTCCTTTCATATTCAGGATAATGCAGGATCAACATCTAATGTTAAACACAGTACTTCTAGGTTTGCTAACACAAACTTGTTGGGTATGGCTAGTACCTCACCTGTTTCAGACAGTGAAAGGGACATGCTATTTGATACAAACCTTTAGTTTTTCGAATATATGGCAACATAACTAGCATCAGATTGGTACTGAAATTCATATATCACGTTACTGAATTGTGTGAAAAGCAGAACATCCTTTTGGCTTGAAGACAGTATCCTGTTAGTGGTGAACACGACTCATATTGCTACTGCATAATAGCAAAGTGAAATGTTGCTGAAACTTTTGGGATAAGTTATCATTGCAGGGTAATTTGAGGCGGACTGGGCACTTAGTGGTAGATAAATTTCTTTGCATACAGAAAATGAATAACACTATGCCTGTTTAAACTGAACAAAATAAGTGATAACTTTTGGTTGGTTTATTTCTCAGAGCAACACCCTGAACAACCAATGTCAATCTACCTTGTTTAAACTTTCATTATCAATCAGAATAAATGCATGGATTCACCATCACCAACACCTGTATCAATCAGAGTACACTTGACAACCAGTCAGCATTTGTCTCTCATGCAGCATAACTGTGAATTTCTCCCTGATGAGTGCAAGACAAAAACCTTCCACAAAATGTATTTTCTCAGCAATCCTCAAGATTTGTTCAACGGAATAACTGTTAATTCAAAGTCCTTGTGAACCCCATTTACACTTTCTGGGAGAATCTTACTCCTAGCCCAGCTTAGATGGAGCCCCTCTCTATAATGAAGCTCTTTGCTGCCACAGTACTGATGTCAGTGCCTCATCAAGTGAAAATGCACCATTGCTTCAACTTGATTTGATGATCTATATGACCATTTGCGCATGGCTTGGATATTCAACAGTTACAAACATTGAGGTCCTATGGCTAAATTTGGTGCATAGTTCTAGGCACTCTCCAAAAAGGATTTCTTACTCTTTCTTATGTTGTTCTTAGCAACTGGAATATCATGCTTCTACCTTTTTTAAATACACTTCCAAGTGGTTCAAAATAACCTCATCTTGACACCATTCAGGCAACAAACTATCCAGGTCTCTTGATCATGTTTACCAAGGATACCTCTGATCTAAAATAAAAACAAAGTACTGGAGAAATTCAGCAGGTCTGGGAGAATCTGTGGAGAGAAAACGAGTTAATCTTTTATTTCTGTTTTTTTTTCTCTGTACAGTTGCTGCCACCTTGTTTTTGGTTTCAGATTTCCAGAATCCACAGCTCTTTGTTTTAATGATGCTCCTGATCTAGGCTAACTGACATCTCTACTTTGAGGTCTGCCACCCTTTTAAGTAAATCTTCTTTATAAATTTTTACCCCATCCAATATCATTACTACCTCCTTCCTTGACTGCCACATTGGCAACATCTTCCTCAGTCAAGATAATGCACAGTAATCATTCTGTACCTCAGCAATGCTGTCTGCTTCCAACTGAAGATTTTTCTGGTCCCTAAATATCATCATTCCTTTGACTACTCTTAAATTTTTATTACATTGACATTGGGGTCTCTTTCCATGTAAGCCACTAATTCTCGTACTGTCTCTATAATTTTAGAGCTTTCTTATAGTTTATCTTAATTTTAGCTTGCTACAATGTTATCAATTTTACATTGTCAAAAACCTGTTTTGCTTGTTTGATCTCTAAATCAGGTAGAGTTAGTAATCTAAAGATTTTGAGCTTTTGATGACCGACCTTGTTCTCTAATGAAAGCCTGTCCACTTTACACCCAAGTTGCCCCCTGTTCCAAGCCTTCCCATTATTCATTACTATATTGTCAAATTTTACCCAGAGCCAGGTTTTTGTTTAAAGTAGTGAAGGTAGCCATCATTTAGTTAAATATTTTTATGCTTCCTTTGCTCCTTGCCCTTTTCTATAACTGTTCCAAATGCACCCCCCCCCTCGACTGAAATATGCTTTATGTGCCTTGCATACTGATGACAAAGTCTTATTTCAGGAATTCCTCACCCTTTCTTTCCCCTTACACTTTCATATCCCTCTCCCTGTTAGAATAATTGAAGTCCCCCCTGTTACCACTATGCTATTGATGTTGCCAATTAATTAGAATTTGTTTTACATCCAGCATAATTTATGAATTTGTTCTCCTCTCTTCCACTCTTAACTTCTTAATTCTGATCAAATAAATCCTCTTTGAATCCTCAACTACATCATCCCCTTCCAGTGATGTAATCAAAAATAGGAAGTTTTCAGAGGTTGTTTTCAGTGCCTCTCTTGATGCCTGAACAAATGTAGGATAAAGGTTGAGGACATCAGATATAGTCACCAAATTAGCAAAACCAATATTGGGCAATGTCTATTAATCATGATGCATGCTGTGCTGTAAAAATACATGCCTTGTGGTTTGGACATTATAATCAAATATTGTCATTTGAATCATTAGACAGGTTTTAAATGTACATAACCTAACGTGTTTGAACTTTGGAGTCCAAAAAGACTGTCGTCACATTACTTTGGAAGTAAGTCAAAGGTTAATGCTACTGCCTGATTTTAAGTTGGCTGGGTTGCAGTTCAGTTTGATGTGGAGTATGTTTCAGTCCAAGAGTAAGTTCAAGAACTTTGTTTTTTAAATATTACATTCATGTGAAATGTAAATCATAAACTTTTTCTCATCGTTTCATATGATTCTATTATTGAACTGGCAATTCTGCATTTAATTTGTACAAGAAAGGAGAATTGCTGAATTACTCAGAATGCTGATAACTTAGTTGAATTACAAGAACTACCAACCTTTTTGAGGTACAATGAAAGACAAATCAAAATGATGTGTTGCTGCAGCAAAAATGAAGTCTGTTTATAATGGCCACTCAGAGTTTGGTATACCTGCTTGTGACTTTCACCACGGCCACTTTTCCTCCCAAGAAAAATTGCATCTGTCAGAAATGTACCTGTCATTTTTGCTGGTCTGCAGAATCTCTATTCCATGCAAGAATACAGGCTAAAGTCTTAAAGAAAATACTTTTGAATGAAGAATGGCTGGAGATATTACACCCATGATGAGGAAATTTTCATTTTGTATTTGAGTAATTTTCTCAACTCTTGAGTTTTGACTAATTTAATGAGATCAGAATTTGAACTGAGAGCAAGTAACTGCATTCTTGTTACATCAGTATTTTGACTTCTGGTATGCAGACATATTTGATTTGTAACTTAAATTGATACCACACCCTGATTCATTGCTCAACTTTGTCAGCTGGTAGATGTGTCAAGGAGTACAATATTTTGGATAAAATTATAAACTTAAACTCTATGGAATATATTGATTAAAAATCTGCATTTTAAATGGTCTTCCTGTACAGTGCACAGATGTTTATATTACTTGAAAACGATACAGAATGAATCTCTTCAGTCCTCTGTTTGTACGAAAAGATGTGTTGCCTCCTCTTCATCTTCTCACATCACTACTCACTATACAATCCATCCTCGAGATAAAGATTCACGATGGGAAGGTAACTGTCATAAATACTGAATTTTTTCATTGGTCCTCAAGCTATTTTTAAAATAATATCTGAAAGTGATCTGTGTCTCTAATCTCGGGTGCTTCTTTCTCTGCCTCGTGTATACAATTGATAGAGATTATTAACGGCAAACTCTGACTTTCTATATTGGTTATAGAAGGAAATCACTGTCTGATTTATCTCCTTACAAACAGCAGGTCAAGTAAACATCCCAACAAAATATAATATGCAGCTCAATACAATGAGAATATACGTGTGTATATATAGAAAGGACTTGACTTATTATTTGTCTAAACATTGTCTAACAGAAAACTAGGGTTGGTGATCACATGGTGATTTTGTCACCAGACAATTAACCCAGAGATTCAGGTAAGTTTCTAGGGGTTTGGGTTTGAATCCCATGACAGCAGATGGTAAAATTTGAATGTTAAATGAATCTGGAACCAGAAATCTGATTAAACCATTGTTGATTGGATTTTTACAACATAACCAAATACATGTGACAATAAATAAACCAAATCAAATGAATAATTTTGTCCATTAATGTCATTTAGGGAAAGAGGATTTCTGTCCTCACCTGGTCTAGCCTACGCTTGACTCCAGACCCACAGCAATGTGATAGGCCATTTCGGAGGCAGTTAAGAGTCAAACCATTAAAAAGTTTTAAAAAGGGAGTTAAACCAGATAGACTGCTTGCCATCAAACTTAAGCAAAGGAACTGACAACTAGTAAGGAGAGCTAATGCCAAAGTTGGGAGAGTTGACTTACAAACTAGTCAAGCAACATAACTTACACGTTAGATAAAAACTGAAAGAACTGTGGATGCTGTAAATCGGGAACAAAAGCAGAATTTGCTGGAAGCTCAGCAGGCCTGGCAGCATCTGTGAAGAAAAAATCCGAGTTAACATTTTGGGATGTGGTCAAAGGTGATTCCTTGGAGGTGGAATAAGGCACTTCTACTGAATATTTTAGTGTCGAGTAAGAATATCATCTCTAGTTTAAAATACAACGCCAGGAAATGAATACACAGTCCTTCTTCGGATATTTGCCAGGGACAGCAATGAAATTGTCGGTGAGGGAGCTAAGTTTTTTGATTAAAGATAATGGCTTCTGTCTTCCCAGTATTTTGTTGGAGGAAATTTCTGCTCAGGGACAAGGATGATCAAGAGATGTGGAATTGGATTGTATTGGTGTACATATGCAATACTTATGGCAGCATCTTATATGAAAAGAAGACCTAAGATAAATATTAGTGGACACCAGAGGAGACAGCAAGAAGAGGAAGCTGCTGCAAGTAAATCCCCAATGGCAACAGGATAGAAATGAATGATATCAGGCAGGTGTAAGTCCACCCAGTTAGATGGTGGTTGAAAGGTTTGGAAGAGAATTTCGGGTTAAATCATGTTACCGGCTGCAAAACAGATGGGAAGGAATTGTTTACTTTTGTCAATCAACTAGTGTCATTGTGAACTAGTGGCAGATGGTTTAAGGTGTTTGTATAACAGTATAAAACCGGGAAGTAGTGCTTTTGGGATTAAGCATCACTTGAAGAGGAATCTAATTTGACAAAACTTGGGGTATTTATGACGGGAACGAGGAGTGGAATTTAGCATTTACCTCACTGAAATACATGCGCACACTCTGAATGAATTGTGCAGACAGGGTGGTGAAGATAATGTTTGGCATGCTTGCCTTCATTGTCTAGAGCAATGAGTATAAGAGTTATTGTACATGACATTGGTGAGGCTGCCTTTAGAATACTGCATACAATTCTGGTTGCCTTACTATTGGAAGGATGTTGTTAAACTAGAAAGGGGTACAGAAAAGATTTACAACGATGTTGCTGGGCCTGGGGAATTTGAGTTATAAGGAGAAGCTGGATAGGTTGGGACTTCTTTCCCTAGAGTGTCAGAGACTGAGGGGTGACTTTTATAAAAGTCTGTAAGAACAGGAGCAAAATAGATAAGGTGAATAGCCAAGGTCTTTTTCCAAAGGTAGTGGAGTCCAAAACTACAGGGCATAAGTTTCAGGTGAGAGGGGAAATATTTAAAAGGGACCTGAGGGGCAGCCTTTTCTTGCTGAGGGTGGTTCGTGTATAGAACATGCTGCCAGAGGAATGGTAGAGGCGGGTTCAATTACAACATTTAAATTCTTGATGTGTGGAACATGTCCCAACAAATTGACTCAAAATATATACAGTACTGAAGGAGTGCTGTACTGTCCGATGTGCTGGGGAAAGACTTAATAAAGCTGGTTAGTTGGTGCTTTAATGAAATGCGTTCATTAATGTTGATTAACACTTACCAGCCAGGCTTTGCTTAAATTTTAAATCCGGTAGGTTTGTCCATTGCTGACTGATTTGGGATTGTCATTCCGGGTCTCAGTGTGGAACACTTGCACGTACTGAAAGCTGCATATTTTAATACATAGAACCCTGTTGTTGGCAGACAAAACGTGTGTATGCACTTATTTCAACTCAACAAAGTAGGTGACAGGCATTTGCTGATTCTCTTCTCAGGGCAATACTCTGACCAATTATAGTCAATCTGCCTGGTCAACAAAATGTGACATTTTTAAGCAACACTCAAGTCCTGTACTGCTAACTGATTTTATCAGAGTCTTTGAAAAGGTTTCAAAATTCATTTGATTAATTTTGGGAGGGAAATATAAAATTATAAGATGCTCGTGGTCAGTGACTTGCAAATTGGTGAATAAGTTTAAATAGAAACAAGCACATTTTAAGTTGCATGTTCGGTTTCATCATTCAACTTGTAGCAGTCAAATTGAAATACTAATAATCACAACTTCACCTTTGAGCTGATTAAATGTTGCTTTTAATTTTAAGCATAAAAGGCACAACAGACATATCAAATATGAAACTATATTGGTTATGAGCCCCCGTGTCTTTGGCCTTGACTTTCGCTGTGCGGTCAGTTACGCAGAGAATGCTGAATTCCAGGCTCCACGAATCCAACCTTTCATAATGGTTGGTCCAACTCATCCTTTTCAGTTTGGGAGGATGAACTGGATTGAAATTGGGTCTAGGCAACCTGGAAAAACCTGGTGAATCAGCAGACAAAAAACCTGCTTTAAGGACTCTAAAGTCCATGCTCAAAATCCAAAGGAAAAGAATGAAAATAAAACATTCCTCCATTCCTCAACTCCCTCATTTTTTCCCCCCCCTCCTCTTCCCCATGCTACCTAATGCCTGGTTCCCCAACTTCCCATTGCCCTTCATATCCCCATTACCTCTGTCCATCCCTTGTGCCAACCCTTTGTTTCAAGTACCGTTATTTCTCCACTTCACCAACCATGACACAATAGCTGGTATCTACCAGTACTCGTACACACTGGAGGCAAAGTTCTATTACTTAAGCAAAAACAAAAATTGTTGGAAAAACTCAGCAGGTCCGGCAGCATCTCTGGAGAGAAATCAGAGTTAGTATTTTGGGTTGAGTGACCCTTCCTCGGAACCATTCTGAGCTTTTCCAGCAATTTCTATTTTTGGTTATGATTTACACCAGCTGCAGTTCTTTCGGGTTTTTGTTACTTAAAATTGAATATTGCAGTCTGCACTCGATTGAGAAGAGCACTCTCATTCAGAAAGATGTATTTTGATGCTTCTTTGATAGATTTCTCTGTTCCAAGAGGTTTGTGCACTTTTTAGGAACAAGCTTTTCTTTATCAACAATCCTGAGGGTACCTTCCCTCTCCAGCGAATCCTGAATACTGTGCTTAGAGGCAGAACTTGTGATCTCTGACTGCTTCTGCTGTTTCCATACAACTGAAACGCTGTCCATTTTTTGGAAAAAATTTGGACTTTCGTTTAGTTTGTTTAGCTCTTATGAGCTTTTAGAAAAAAGACAGGTGAAAATAGTTTTGAAAAATCATGTTTAAAAGTTTTTATCTCCACATCAGATGTGCTGATCTTGCACCACATCTGCCAGCTAAGGCAGGTTTTTCCCTTGGCTAATGTCATTGGCGTGTACCTATCTGTCAGTGCCAGTGTACATGTCATGACCCACCAACAATTGCTAGCTGTTCGTTCAGCTGTTCATGACAGTTTTTGACTAGCAGTGTGACAACTGCTTCATCTCCCCCTCTCACATTTGGATCTGCCATGTCCACTACTGTTGCACTTAGTTTACTGCCTCCCAATTGCTCCCTCTGCTACATTTCATACCTCACAATGCTTCAGTTTCCAGCTGTAGTCCGTTGAGCTCCACCCTGCTCCCTCTGAAACTTAGCATCTCACTCTCCAATCCAGCAGATACACTTCCTTCTCCTTTTTTGTTTCTCCTCAGTCTACACCATGTTTGTTGTAAGCAGCTGCCCAGGGCACGAATTGGCATCATGATATTTTAACTATATTTCAGCAAGACCTTTGACAAGGTCCCACAAGGGAAATTGGTTTATAAAAAAGATTAAAGCTCATGGGATTCAGGGTAACTTGGTAAATTGGCTCAGTGAGATGAGACGGAGGGTGGTGGTAGAAGACTGCTTATATGACTGGATCCTAATGTGCAGTGGCATACTGTAGCCATTGGTGCTGGCTACCTTATTGTTTGCGATATTCATAAATGATGTAAATGAAAATGCATGTGTGTATGCAAATATTTTGGGATGAGAATGTGGGTTGATGATGACAAGTAAGTCTGTGTGACATAACAATTGGCAGACTTGTTGACAGTGAGAAGGAATGTGTTAGATCACAGGATATAAACAAGTTGGGCAGATCAGTGGCAGATGGTATTTAACCCTGACAATTGTGAGATGATGCACTTTGAAAGAAGACAAGGGAGTACTCAATGTATGGCAAGAGATTAGGAAGCTCAGAAGAACAGAGGGATCTTGGGATGCTTCTCCACAGATCCCTGAAGTTGTAGGACAGGTTAATAGGGTAGTTAAGAAGGCAGTCTGGACACTTGCCTTTATCAGCTGTTGCATAGATTATAAGAACAGGGAGGTCATGCTGAAGCTGTACAGAACTTTGGTTAGGCCACAGCTGAAGTACCCCAAACAGATTAACTACCAGGAAGATTTGCAATATGTGTACACACAGCAATGGAAGTCCTTCAAGATGCCTCCTCTTGAAGGCATTGTACCCGTACGATCTACTGTTCCTTCCCAAAGAAAGTTTAACTATTTACAATTAGCCTATGAGAACTTGTGATTGTGATTTTGCCTGAAATTGCTGTTGATTTGCCTACAGGCATCAGTGATATTATCTATCATTCCTGTTGGTATTGTCAAGTTTTTCTTTCATGCCCTGTAATTCCAATTCTGCCTTAAGCGCTTCTAACTCATTTTTACATTATGGATTCCTCTAATTCTATCAATATAATTTCTCTTTCATAATCTGTTCTGTTAATTGCCTGGCGTCCTTCAGCTTTTCTTCTTTTTGACTTTTTTATGAGCCTGAACCTTTCTATTGATGCTTCATTTTTTACAGGTCTGTCATTTCTCCTGAGCTCAAGCCAATGTTTTTGCAGCTGTTCCTGCTGAGGGTGATCTGTATGTACCTGCTTCATGCTGCAGATCTTTCTGTGTACCGGCAATATTTACCTTAGATTGATGATACAGAGCTTGTAATTCACCCTTGCTGTTTTCCATCTCTTTCAATTCTTTATTCGTCTTTGTGAAACAAGCTGAATATCTCCTAAAGATGTCATTTCGGAGATGGACTCTCGAGTTTGGACTTACCCTGAGCTCGTTTCAGCTTTTCTGTCTTGACTGTTTGTTTAACTCTCCACAGTGGAGAGCTGAGAATTTAGCTCCATTAATTCAGAAGAAAGTGAAGTGTTTTAGTACTCTTTCATCTTCAGTTCTGCAAATGTTTCTTGAATAATTTGCTGCAGTTTCTGTTGTCTCTGATGTTAGACTGACTACATGGATTGTGACTAACGCAAGTTTATGGTATGTGGGTATATCTGCAATTGATGCCACATCTGGGCAGATTATTATTTCTCCAAGTAGACTTCAGCACTATTGATCCTTTATATGGAATTGGTGAACTGTTGAATGAAGTAAGGTTTACATTTGTAGGTTTGTCATTGCTTCCCACGTCAGTAGATAATGCTTTTATAGAATTTTCAAAGAGTATATTGGCACTTGCCACTGTATCAATCTTAGCCAACAATAAACAGTCAATACACAGACACGATGGATAGTGTGACGGCTTTGATGTTTTCAACAAGATTTACAGTTTGGCACACATTGTCCTGACATGTACGTTGTCAAATTCTGTCAATCACTTCATGTATATGCCTTTGGGATATTATATATCTTTATCACAAATTGGAAATGCACCATATGAGTGGTCTGTTTGAATCAGTGCGGTGTTCTTTTTAGCAGCATCAGGACAATTTATAATAGGAAATAGAATATTGGCAGAGAAGCTTAAAAAAGTACTTTGTGTCTGTCTTCAGAGAAAGAAATGAGAAGTCTCCTGAAATAATTGAGATCCAAGGATCTAGAGAGAATAAGGAAATAAAAGAAATTAATATTGGAGAAATTAATGGGATTGAAAGTTGACAAGTCATAAGACTGGATAACCTTTGTTGAAAGAGATGGCTACATAGATAGTCGATTCTTTAATCATCTTCAAAAGTTCTTTAATTCTGAAATGGTACCTGCAGTTTGAAAGGTTGGGAATGTAACCCCATCTTTTTAAGAAAGGAGGAAGAGAGAAAACAGGAAACCACAAACCCATTAGCCTAATGTCAGTAGTAGGGAAAACACTAGAATCTATTGTAAAGAATGTAATTACTGGACATTTCAAAAATAATTGTTTGATTTGGTAGAGTCAACATGGATTTATGAAGGGTTAATCAAGGAGAATTGATGTAGGGGATTCAGTGGATATGAATTTGAATTTTCAATGCCAGGTTACCATTTATTGCTCATCCCTAATTGCCCAGAGTGCAGGTAAAAGTCAATTACATTGATGTAGTTCTGGAGTCACATGTAGGCCAGACCAGATAAGGATGGCAATTTCCTTCCCTAAAGTACATTAGTGAATCAAATCAGTGTTTTTCTGACAACCGACAATGGTTTCATGGTCATCATCAGACTCTTATTTCATGGTTTCCTTTTAAAATGAATTCAAATTCCACCATCTGCCAATGGGGGGTGAGGGAGGGGGTGTGCATTCGAACCCAGGTCCACAGAACATTCCCTGGGTCTTTGGATTTACAATCCAGTGATTAATACCACTAGACCGCCCTATGTTAAATGTCAGCACACAGGTGCAACTAGCAAATCAGAATAGAAACAGATAATCTTTTATCACAAGAGGATTTGCATGCAGGAGCAAAGAAGTTTTGCTTCAGTTGTATTGAACTCTAGTTAGACTGCACCTGGTGAACTATGCATTTCTAGTCTCCTTACCTGAGGAAGCGTATCACTTGCTATACAGGAATTGCGGCATAGGCTCACCAGAATGATTGATGAGACGATGGGATTATGAGAGATTGAGAAGACTGGGCCTGTATTCCCTAAAGTTTAGAAGGATGCAAGGTGAGACTTAGAAAATTCCTAAAGGGTTAGATAGAGCGGATGAAGAAAGGATGTTTTCCCTGAATGTGGGGTCTGAACTGGGGGACTCAATCTCTGAATAAAAGACAAGCCATTTAGGACTGAAATCATTCAGAGTGGGTGATGATTCTTTTTGAACTTTTCTACCCTAGTGGAAGCTCAGTCATGAAGTAAATTCAAGGCAAAGATTGGTAACTCAAAATCTATCAATGACATCAAACGATATGGCAATAATGTAAGGATATGGTATGAGATAGATGATTAGTAATGATATAGAACAGCAGATCAGGCTTGATCGGCTGAGTGGCTTACTCCTGTTCCTATGTTACTATATTTCTTTTAAGAGCATTGCTAGCCTAGCTGGTACAAAGTTATTGCAGCAGACTTCACCCCGGAAATATGGAAGTGTTCTTGTGAAATTTTAAGATGGAAACAGTTCACATTTAGATGAGATATTCAAAGAATTTTGGAAGTGTGGGTTCTGCGTGTAGCGTGATGTTGATGGACGAGGTTTGTATCATTCTCAGTTCATCACTATGATCACAATTCATTATTTAGAATTAGCTGAACAAAGTAAGTGTATGAGATGCACATCCTCAAACTCATTAACATATTTTTTAATCAAGCTGCTGAGCAATGTATTACACATCCCTGAAGCAGGTGGGACTTGAACCTGGGCACCCTGATCCAGGGCAGAGACATTACCACTGTGCACACAAGAGCCAAGTTGAAATTTTATTGAAGGTGTCTATTCAAGTACATTCAGATGAATTGGGTTATTCAAATAATGTACCACATATTTTGTATTGTTTTGATTTCTCTCAATTTGTAGCATTCTGCATTTAATGAGGTTTCATATTGCTATAATTGTATTGAAAAAATACACATAGTGGTGAATTTTTATATTAAAAAAGTTTGCAATTTTAGTCTTGTTTGTATTTTGCCAACAGCCCAGTGTAACTTTTTCATATCTGATTGGTGTATGATTTTGGAAAATTCTTACATTCAACATGAGGAATCAGACAAGTTTTCAAATCTGCCTGAACCTTTAAAATTGACATGGTAGGTTCAAAGTTCTTATTCCATTATTGCTTCCTATTTCAAGGGGTCAACATGGAGCGGTTTGCAGATGAAGCTGATGTAGTGATAGTAGGTGGAGGACCTGCTGGTCTGTGTGCAGCAATCCGCCTTAAACAGTTGGCCGAAAGACATGACCAGGAAGTACGAGTATGTTTGGTGGAGAAAGCTGCACAGATAGGTGGACATATCCTGTCAGGGGCTTGCCTGGATCCAAAAGCTCTCATTGAGTTGTTTCCAGATTGGAAAGACAGAGGGGTAAGTAAATAGTTTTAAGTTGAATGTAAGCTTTTTTTTCTACAACAATTTAAGTGGCAAAAATAATACAATGTGGAATCCAAATAACCATATAATTTGCTTTATTAAAAATATTAAAGGTATTTTTGCAACATACCATGGGTACTGATGGGAGTGAAACAGTTCTGCTTTGGCTGTAGTAACAGTATTCTTTACTGATAAAATATAAGTCTGACGAGAGAAAGTAGTAGATTTGTGACTGTGGTATTTTAGGCTGGATACCCATGATGACAGCCCATTCTTCAAACTTTGTTAGCAATCCTATTGTAGAAACAGTCAGCACAAAATCCTGGCTGAATACTCTATTTCAGTACTGAATCTATGCTCTCTGGTGGTATAAAAGTTAGCATTATTTTCAAGATCAGGCGATTTATCCCAGTTGTCATAGTCTATATTTATTTTTCAGTATTTTAAGAAAGGTTGAACAAGTATCCCTACTATAAGTATTGATATGCAACAGTTTTTTTAAATTTACTAGCTATTCGTGTATAGTATAACATAAAAATACAATTTAACCACAGTGAACTATATATAATCTTTAATAAATATATTTAGATAATGCCTTTGTTGTACAAGGCTGGAGATTGCTGGAATACTTATCTAAAACAATTTGTAGCAGTGGAATTCCATTGCAGAATCCATGGGTATATGCAATCCAAATAGCAAGTGGCGTTTTAACATTGTGCGTTTGTAAATTAAAATCAACTTTCTGTAGCATGCTGTAGTTTCACATCATAGTTGATCAGCTGGCTCTAGGAATTAATATAGAAACAGAAATGAATTTTGTACATTTTTCTACATTAAAGTTGAGTTTAAATTTCTAGTCAACAGTCCAGCATGTTATTAAGTCAATGTAAACATATATTTTGACATTCAAGTTCAAAACATTTCAAAATCTGAATTTAATCAATTTATAAGGATATTATTTTTAGAATTGAATAAAAACTTGTTTTTATGTGATGTTTCATAATTTTGTAAATATGTACACTACAGGCTCCACTACATACACCAGTAAAGGAAGATGCATTTAGTATTTTAACAGAGAAATACAGAATTCCAGTTCCACTGTTACCAGGTATAGTGAATATGTTTTATTTGTAGGTATTTTGCTTGTCAATTCGAAGTAGGGAATTTTTAATTTGTGTAGCTTGTGCAGTGAATTGCAACAATGATTACCCCTCAGTGAAATATTCTGCAACACCTTGAAAAGATTATGTTCTGTTGACAGGGCTAATACAGTTAAAACATTGTTTCACATATTGTTTTCAATGCATTCAATTATCCAACTTTTCTCATGTAAAATTCTACTTTGTCTCCTGCTTCTGGTTTCTGTGCAGGTCTTCCCATGAGGAACCATGGAAATTACATTATTCGTTTAGGACACTTGGTTAGATGGTTAAGTGAACAGGCAGAAGAACTTGGTGTGGAATTGTACCCAGGGTACGCAGCCTCTGAGGTGAATAGTGTTTTGTTTTAAACTATATAGTTGTTATACAGAGATAACAAGGTGTAGAGCTGGATGAACACAGCAGGCCAAGTAGATGTTTTGGGCCTAGACCCTTCTTCAGAATTTATCTCAGGTTTTCCAGCATCTGCAGTTCCTACTATCTCTGATATAGTTGTTATACAGCTGTTTATAGATTTGATTTTGCTGGTCGGAATATATTAATATCCTAATATCATAAATGTGCATTCATCCCATGAAATGTTGGGGAGTTCTGTGTTGTAACTTTTCATAAAGATTGGTTTAATGGAAAGTCTTCCCAATTGACCATTCCATCTTCCCAAACGTGCTGTGAAAGTAAATAACACAGCCTACATCCACTTCCTTGATTTGTCATTTTTACATTGCTCTTCTATCATTGTCTTACCTAGTTAATATACAGAAAATCTTCATTTAACATTATCTTGCTTAACATTATTTGTTCTTTTTGAGGTCTTTTTGTTTTGCATGCCACTTTCATTTGAGCATCATTTACGATTGTTGGTATCAGTCGCAATCACAAGTCAACTTCCATTAAGGTACTACATCGCCTGTATCCCAGATACACACTCTCTCTTTTCTTCTAACCCTGGGTAAGGGTCCTTGCCTCATTCTTGACCTGGTTGCTTCCTGGCCTTCTCCCCCTACTTATTCCACCAGGCCTTGTCTGATCTTGCCTGGCCTTATGTCATTAGCTTGTTCAACCGTATTGTTGTTTTGCCCCAGTCCTGAACCTTGGTTTCCAGCTGTTGGTGTGCCCCAGTGTTGCATCCCAATCCCTGTGATTACCTTTAGGCTCCTGTCTGGTTTTCCCATTGCTTCTGGCTCCACTCTCGGATCTTCACTTCCCTCCTGAATTCCACCTGATGTTGTGGGCTCCTTCAGCATCCAGTTGCACTGACTAACATCGGACCCTAGGTGGAGCCTTGTAAAGCTAACTACTGTATAGTATTAATTATTTTTAATTTTTGAATTTATTATATTTTGTTTAACAATGTAGGCATTTAGCCATTCAAAGTGCCATTGGTACTATGTTTCAGTATAAGGTACAGGTATAATGTTTTTCGTTTATTTTGTCTGCTAAGGAAGGCAGTATGGAACTTAACTCCAGTTTTAACATGTGATTCACTCATTCTAATTTGAATCATTAGTCTTTTCTCTTAAAGTTGCAATCTTCACGAATGCAACCCAGACTTCAGGTCTCTCTCTGTAATATAATTTATTTCAAAAGTTGAAACCTTTTTTATTGGTTCTTTGTAATAGTATTGTTCAAGATTTTGTTTACCAGTATTGATTCTGGTTGGACTTGCTTTTGCTGTCGGGTGGGCTAGATTATTCAATCCATAACTGGGTATGCACAAAACACCTATAAGAGTGCACTGATAAATGAGAATAAATCAAAGCGTACAATTTGCACAAAGTCTTTTATTATTGCTGCAGGATAACCTTATAACAAATTGTATTATGAGTCATTAGGGTGGGGGAAGTCCAAAACCAGAGGGCATAGGTTTAAGGTGAGAGGGGAAAACTTCTCTTTAAAAAAAAAGACTTGAGGGGAATTGTTATCGCATAGAAAGTGGTGCATGTGTGGTACGAGCTGCCAGATGAAGTGGTGAAGACAGGTACAATTATATTAAAAAGACATCTGGACGGGTCTATGAATTTGAACGGTTTAGAGGGATATGGGCCACATACTGGCAAATGGGACTGGGTCAGATTGGGATGAGTGATTAGCGCTGATGAGTCTATTTCTATGCTGTATGACTCTGACTATTTACTGATCTGTGTAGAGTCTACATTCTATTGCGCTTGCCACACAGTGTGTTTAACCCATATATCCCACAAAGGACTGTGAGTCGACTCTTATTAACAGCATGAAATGATCTTTATTGATTATAACACAATTAATATTATAATAATGATTATGCTACAAACTAACAATTAATACAATAAAAACTGAAAGAACTGTGGATGCTGTAAATCAGGAACAAAAACAGAAGTCGCTGTAAGATCAGCAGGTCTGGCAGCATCTGTGAAGAAAAAATCAGTGTTAACGTTTTGGGTCCGGTGACTCTTCCTCGGAACCTGATAATACAATAAATCTGACAATTAACATTGTAAATCTAAGTTAGTATCTTGTGCTTTAAGTTAACTTGGAATGATCAAACGTCACTACACTAGACCTTGGCCTTCGTCCACGTGGTGATGGTCGTCTGGTCTTCCTCTCCCGGCAGTCCCAGGGGGACCTCATCCGTTGTTCTCAAGTTACCGCTCCCAAGGGTGTTGTTGCGGTGATTCTTATCCTTGGAAGCTTCCGCACCCCGTTGTAAGGATCGTTGATTCCCACCAATGGATCGATCAGGAATTGATTACCCTGATTGGGTCTGATCAATCAGGCAGTGTCATGCGGATGGAGGGGTGGTCTTTGGTCCTCCATTTCTGAAAGTGTCAGGGGCATGTAAGTCAGGTAGGCTTCCCAGATAAGAGTGTGAGGTGTCCCTTTGTTCCAGAAATAGATCAATGTTTCCTAATATCCTGGTAAATAGGCTTAGTCAATTGTATATTGTGCTGTCTGCAGCTGCAGCCTACCTGTCTGGGTCTGCAGCTTGTTTATTTCAGTATCTTTGCATAGATACTTTGGCCAATGCTTGGCTTGATTTCCCAGCATGCCTGGTGTACTATCCAATTCTGCCATGTTGAGTGGCCTGTCCGGCTACAATACTACTTGCCAAAGAAATTTAAATGCCAATGAGAGTAATTTCTAAATACTTGCCAATCTTCACACATTTGAGGTATCTCTGCTATTTTATGTTTTGCTGATTTAAAACATTTTACTAAGAAAATGCAATATTTTGTGAACAATCCAGATTTTGTTCCATGAAGATGGAAGTATTAAAGGGATTTCTACCAATGATGTTGGTATTCATAAAGATGGATCTCCAAAGGTATGGTTTTTGAATTAAATACTTTTAACGCTACTTGTCAAAAGGTGAATACAAATATATCCTTTGTTCAAAGGTTTCTATTTTACATTAGATGCAACTAATTCTTTTTAATTTGTTCTTGCAACATGCACATGTTGTAAAAGCTCTATTTTTCTTCTTGCCTGTCACTAGTTTCCCTGAGACACTTGTCATTGTGACCTGAAAAAGACACATGTTATCTAAGCATTTTATCTTGCACTCAACAGGCCAATTCGCAAGAATACGATTTTGAGGGGAAAACGTCCAGAAATTATGCTGACAGCCAATTTGGATTGTTATTTAGGTTCATAATGTGGTGCTCCTGTGCTTATTAGAGGCTATGTATATCAATACACACAAACTGTTCTATGTTTACAGACAGAACATGGTCATGCACTGCCTCTCTATCAACTCAAAAGAATAGGTGGCAGCTGTTCCATATTTTGTATCTCAATGTCTCGACCAATCCGAGTCAAGATGACTGGTTTTAAAATGTTAGCAAAGCCTGGATGTTAACTGTTGATCTATGTTTATGGGTACATTCTCAATGGCAATGTCTCTACCAATCATAGACAACTTGCCAACCAATCTGTGCTCTCTTATGCAGCCTAAATATTGGGTTTCCCTTTAATTGGTATTCTGAGTAAATTTTACTGATGAGTGCAAATTGAAAAGCTTTGATAAAATGTTTTTCTTTCAGCAATATATTATGATTTGTAACTTGCAAGTGATATTCAGTTATGAATAATGTATAGCTTGGATGTAATGGTATTTATACGAGCTCATTGTTCTTTGTCTTCTTGACGGTAAAGGTTCGTGTGGTTGAGAACAACTGTTGAAGTTAGCATGATAAATTGCGGTAGCAGATAGAACATTCAGCGATAGTGGTGAAGAGGATGAATACTGAGTTCAACTACAGAAGTGTCTATTTAGTCCTAGACTGCATTGGTTCAAGTGTGTCACTGCCACCACCTTTTCGAGGCAACTACTAACAGCAATAAGGAAGATGGTGTTTTAATACCATCTGCCATATTCCAAAAACAAATTTTAAAAAAGTTGAATTTTGCACAAAAAAAGTTGGTTTTTAAATTCATTCAATAAAGGTAGTGAGCCAAGCAGTGAATTCAGCTTCTGAGTACTAGTGCAGCAGCACGTGTCCAGACAAGTACTGAATATTCTAACCCACTCCCGATTTGAGGCTTGTAGAATATTGAGAGACTTTGAGGTGTCAGGAAGAGAACTACTCATTAGAGTGAGAAGCCAGGCTTTTGCAGCTACATTTTATTTATTATGTCTAGTCCAGATAAGGTTTCACGTAAATTATGTGACACTCAGGATATGAACAGTATGGAACTTGCTGATCATAGAACCCCTACAGTGTGGAAACAGGCCCTTCGGCCCAACAAGCCCACACTGACCCTCATAACATCCCACCCAGAGCCATCCACCTAATCTACACATCCCTGAACACTATGGGCAATTTAACATGGCCAATCCACCTAGCCTGCACATCTTTGGACTGTGGGATGAAACTGGAGCACCCGAAGGAAACCCATGCAGACACTGGGAGAATGTGCAAACTCCACACAGACTTCCACTCTTGGGTGACTTCTAACCTGGGTTCCTGGCGCTGTGAGGTAGCAGTGCTAACAAGTGTGCCACCATTTTTGTTCTTTTGAATAAAATCCACACTCAACCATGGAACATGGTATCAGGAGGCAACGATTCATTTGATCGTGGTTGATTGATACCCCATATCTTAACTGAATAAAATTCAATCTCAATTTTGAAATTTTCAGTTGATTCACCACTAAAAATTGTAGGTGCTGTATGAGTTCCAGATTTCCCCTCCCTCACATATGTGAAAATGCTTTGAGTTCACCCCTAAAGCACGTTGATTGCTCTTTTTTTTTTAAATTGTGACACCAAAGAGTTTCCTTATTTCTACAAAATCGGATGGATGAATCATTTATACTAATTGCATGAAAACACAATCCTCGTTCTAAGTACAAGTTATGTTTATGCTACATCTTAATTTTAAACCTTTGATTATTAGTATCTTTTCCATAAATCAGCACAGAGTCCCTTTTGCAAGACCATTACATCAATTCTATAGTGCAGCATCCAAAACTGAATGCAATTCCTCAATGTCTGACAAAGGCCCTGTAAAACTGAAGCATCACATCCTCATATGAAAGGGAAACAATTATACTCCTCCTCCAATAAAGGTAAACAATTCAATTAGCACTTTGATTTAGTTCGCTAGGACATTCACTGCTCATAAGATGTCTTCTAAGCTGGGGAGACCAAACACACTTTAGGTGATCACTTTGCTGAACATCTCTGTTTAGATATTAATCTAAGTTCGCTGGGTTAGCTAAAATGAAGGTAATGAAATTAGATGAAATGAGGAAAAGAAACATATGAAGTCTGAACTTACGCTGAACAAAGAAGGTTGCCAGAGGCAGTTAACAAATATATGCTGAGAACACCAATGCCAGAAAAATGATTTAAAAGTTCAAATAGCTGTCTGACAGTTTCAACTCTCTATAGACCTAATAACCAAAATTTCAAAATGGTTTACCTTTAAAAATTTGGTGTGGGGAGAGGGCGAGTGGGGATAAGATGGTCGGAGGATAGTGGTTAGGTCTTAACGTGTTGGCGATTATTGTTACTGGCACTAAGTCTAAATGTTATCCAGGTCACACCATATAAAGCTGACATGATTGCAGAACTTAACTGAAACTGAACACTGTGGAATTGTCAGTGAGCAGCCATTCCCTTAATATTATGATGGAATGGAAGTTATTGGTGAGGCTGTTGAAAATCGTTGGGCTGATTAGGTGTGAGGAGGTACAATCATAATAGTTATAGCAACATCCTGATCTTTATCCAGAAGGATTGAAAGCAAAATATAGGCGATGCTGGTCATTTTAAAAAAAAAAAAAACTACTTAGTCTAGCCCACCTTCCAACACCTGGTCTGTAGCTTTGCAGAGTTTTTTTTTAAAAGTACACATTTTAAAGAAGTACTGATATACAATGCCATAAAGATTTCTTTTAAAAATCTAGTTGAAACAGACACTTCTGTAGCATAAATTTTTAAGCACAATCGTGCACTACCGTTAGTGAGTGGGTATGGGGCCGTAGGCCGTTGTGAGGGAAACAGTCTCCAAGAACAGAAGATAGCGCCAGCAGGGCTTAGTAGAGGAAGGTCGCTTCGATTGGTGTTGGTAGGGGCCCGGCGCTGGATCATGATGTCGGCAGCGAGTTGGTCGTTTCGACAGTGGTGGTTTTGGAGGGCCAGGCACAGGGTGCATTGTGGTGGCGGTGAGACAGTCGTTAGCCCCAGCCCATGGTAAGTTGGAGGAGCCCACAGAGTGCCAGCGGAGGCGGTGGAGGCAATATTGTTGTGAGCCATAACAAGAAGGAAATGTGAAGATGAACTCTTTTGCTTTACATTTTGGCTTTATATTCTATGTCGTGCTTTATTTTCTGTGTTTCGAGATGGTACTGGACAGTGGCAACACTAAACACCACTTTTCACTGTGTTTGTAGTACACGTGACAATAGGTAAATCTAATCCAATAAATCTAATTCTCCCTCATTACTTTACAGCACAATTTATAAAAAAGGTTCTGCTGTTTAAGTGAACTAAAGAAACATCTGCAATTTGAGATCTCGTGATCACCCTGACCATGTTACCTGTAATTTAGAATGTTTTAAAACAATAATTTAAAATGTTCTTCACATTTTCACAAAGGACACATTTGAAAGAGGAATGGAACTTCATGCCAAAGTCACGATATTTGCTGAGGGCTGCCATGGACACCTTGCCAAGCAATTGTACAAACAATTCAAGCTAAGGGAGAACTGTGAACCACAGACGTATGGTATAGGATTAAAAGAGGTAAAAAAAAAAAAGTTTTGAATTTCCCCATGGAAGTATTTTCAGCCTCCTTTTAATATTTTTAAGTTTTAAATCACGGTTCATTGAGAATTGAGTGAACTGCTAAATAAAAAGTTAAAGTTGCCATGGTCTTACCAGATCATAGGCCTTGCTGCCGTGTTAGGTCATGACTTGGGCAAAGGGAGAGGTTAGGAACTGCACCTCCCAGTCGTGAACCATTTCAACTCCCCCTCCCATTCCTCCGACGACATGTCCAACCTGGGCCTCCTGCAGTGCCACAACGATGCCACCCAAAGGTTGCAGGAACAGCAACTCATATTCCGCTTGGGAACCCTGCAGCCCAATGGCATCAATGTGGATTTCACAAGCTTCAAACTCTCCCCTCCCCCTACCGCATCCCAAAACCAGCCCAGCTCATCCCTGCCTCCCTAACCTGTTCTTCCTCCCACCTATCCCCTCCTCCCACCTCAAGCCGCACCCCCATTTCCTACCTACTAACCTCATCCCGCCCCCTTGACCTGTCCGTCCTCCCTGGACTGACCTATCTCCTCCCTACCTCCCCACCTACACTCACCTTTACTGGCTCCATCCCCGCCTCTTTGACCTGTCTGTTTCCTCTCCACCTATCTTCTCCTCTATCCATCTTCTATCCCTATTTATTTCAGAACCCCCTTCCCCTCCCCCAATTCTGATGAAGGGTCTAGGCCCGAAACGTCAGCCTTCCTGCTCCTATGATGCTGCTTGGCCTGCTGTGTTCATCCAGCTCTACACCTTGTTGTCTCGGATTCTCCAGCATCTGCAGTTCCTACTATCTCAAGTTAAGAACTAGAATAGTTTGTGATAACCTCAGCTGATGCAGGAATTGAACCCATGCTGTTGGCAACATTCTGCATGGCAATCCAGCCATCGAGCCAATGATTTAATGGAGTAACTTGTTAAACAGAATAATGAGAATTGGGTAACAAAGTAAGGCAGAGAAGCTAGATAGTATAAACCAAGGGAAAACAGAAAATAGGCAAATAAAATAATCAAAGTAATTAAATCGAAGGAAGTGATTTGAAAATTAAGTACAACAGCAACTTGCTTTTTTATAGTGCACTTGATGTCATTCGTCTGGGTAGTGCTAGTTCAAAGTACCACTGGCCACACAGACAGCCTGTTGCCGCTCTGGCTTCCTGTAAAGCATCAAAATTGTGCAACCTATGGAATGTCGTCTAGAAGTGCCATGTTGCCAATTTTCTCAAGGTTTCAGGAGTTGTACACCATAATAAACAGCAGGCTGTCAGAAGTAGCCACACTGCCACATGCCAGTAATTATAGCCAAAAAAGTACAGGTAGATGCTGACAAGAAATATAATGCCAGAAGGAGGGGCTCAGATTTCAGTTGTTTGGGAGTGGTTCTGAGGTATTCAGTTCCGGTACAAGATGGACAAGTTCCCCATTCTCCCAAGTTCTATGACCGTTGCCTTTGAAAGGAAATTAATTAGTGTTGGGGGTGGGATGGGTGAGTTAAACTAATTTAGCAAAACAGAAGCACTTGAATGAAGCATCAGAAAAGAGGTACGATGTGCATAAAAGACTGAGAAAAAGAGAAGTTAAAAGTGGTTCAGAAATAGGAATTTAGATAAATGTGAGGTGCTGCATTTTGGAAAGGCCAATCAGGACAGGACTTGTAGACTTAAAGGTAAGGTCCTGGGGAGAGGTGCTGAACAAAGATACCGTGGAGTGCAGGTTCATAGTTCCTTGAAAATGGAGTCGCAGGTAGATAAGATAGTAAAGAAGGGATTTGATATGCTTGCCTTTATTGAGTACAGGAGTTGGAGATCATGTTGCAGCATACAGGACATTGGTTAGGCCACTTTTGGAATACTGCATTCAATTCTGGTCTCCATAGTATAAGAAGGATGTTGCGAAACTTGAAAGAGTTCAGAAAAGATTTATAAGGATGTCGCCAGAGTTGAAGGGTTGAAGCTATAGGGAGAGGCTGAATGGACTGTTTTCCTTGGAGTGTTGGAGGCTGAGGGGTGACCTTCTATAAAATCATGAGGGGCCTGGATAGGGTGAATAGGTCTTTTCCACCAGGGTCCAAAACTAGAGGGCATAGATTCAAGGTGAGAGGTGAAAGATTTAAAAGGGATCTAAGGGGCAACTTTTTCATACAGTGGGAGCTGTGTGTGTAGAACAGGCTACCAGAGGAAGTAGTGGAGGCTGGTACAGTTACCCATCCAGATGCCTTTTAAATGTTGTATGTGAATAGGATGCGTTTAGAGGGATATGGGCCAAATGCTGGCAAATGGGACTCGATTAATTTAGGATATCTGGTCGGCAGGGATAAGTTGGACCAAAGGGTCTTTTCCATGATTTCCCTATATGACTCTATCTGACAATGCAGAAGTGCATGGAGAGTGGTAAACGCAATTGCTGACTACAGGTGCATATTACACATGGGATTTTTTTTTTAAAACAGGAACCTGGCTTAAAACTGGATTGGAAAAGATGCTTAATTAGTTATAAGGTATTCCAGGAAAAATTGGGAAAGAAAAATGAAGGTCGCAGAAAGTGGCCATTTAAGCCATTGATGCCTGATATTCCAAAAAAGAAATAGTTGACCATTCTAGTCCCATTTTCCAACACCTGGCCTGTAGCCTTGCAAGTCACAGGTGCAGACCCATGCATCTTTTAAAAGAGCTGAGAGTTTCTGGCTCTATCAACAAACTGGTCAGCGAATTCAAGATGCCCATCACATTCTGAGAAAAATTTCCATCATGTCCCCCTTTTAAATTTTCACCGTCTTATAATTTGTCTCTTTGCTTGGGAAAATGAGTCTTTTTCATCAATTTCATATATGTCCCTCATAAGTTGCCCCTCCGTTTCCTCTCGTCTAAGGAAACCTACCCTGGCCTGTCCAATTCTTCTGCATAGCTGCAGTTTTCAGGCCCCAGAAACATTCTTGCAAGTCTCAACTGTACATTATCCATGGCAGTCCTATCCTTCCTGTAGTGTAGTGACTGGAACTGTTCCCAAATTCCAGCTGTGGCCTAACTAGTATTTTATACAATTCCAGCATTACATCCCTGGTTTTTTTTTCCTATTCTGTACCTCATCCAGTAAAGGAAAGCATTCCACTTGCTTTCTTTGCCACCTTATCTATCTGTCCTGCCACCCTCAAGGACCTATCACTCCAAGGTGTCTCATTTCCTCTATCACTCTCTACTCTCCTGTTTATTGTGTATTTTGTTTTGCCTGGCCCAATTACATTTCAATCCAGAGAAGCATGAGGTATGCTATTTGCCATTTCTCCACCTATTCGGTCAGACTGTGGATAACATTCTGCAACTTACAACTATTAACTACATGGCAGATTTTTGTCACCTGCAAATTTCTCAACAGTACCTCCCACATTTAAGTCTTGGTCATTAATGTATACAACAAACAACAATGGATAACACCACTAACACCAATAACACATTTTCTATTAGGGAAACATGCATGGAAATAACTCTTTGGTTGCTGAGGCAACAGAAGATTCAACTTTCTTGTTTCTCATTGACTTTCACTTTCTGAACAGAACATGGGGACCTTCTTAGATGCCTTATCAAGGTTTGTGTAAACAACATCCATTGCAGTACCCTCATCAATTCCCCTTGTAACTTCAAAAATTCAGCTGGTAAGACACAACCTTCTCTTAACGAAAACATGATGACTATCCCTGATTAATCCATACCTCTTTAAGTGACAGCTTATCCTGTCTCTCTGAATTGATTCTAATCATTTACTCACCTTGACTGCTCTGGTGTATCTAGTGAGGAATTGGAAAATGATGCTCTGAGCATCCATTATTACCTCTGGCTTCCTGGAACACAGTCCATCCTGTCTTAGGGATTTTTCAACCTTCA